CACCGAATACACATCTGACAAGGGGTTGATATCCAGGATACACAAAATACTGGTTAAACTCCACAAGAAGAAAACATCCAACCCCATCCAAAAATGGGGCAATGAAATGAGCAGAAACTTTCTCAAAGAAGAAATCCGAATGGCAAAAAAGCACATGAGAAAATGCTCTACATCATTAATCATCAGGGAGATGCAGATCAAAACCACAATGAGATACCATCTCACACCTCAAAGACTGGCCCACATTCAAAAGAACAAAAGCAACCGATGCTGGCGTGGATGTGGCGAGAAAGGGACACTCCTTCACTGTTGGTGGGAATGTCCACTGGTTCAGCCCTTCTGGAAAACAGTATGGACGATTCTCAAAAAATTAGAAATTGAGCTCCCATTTGACCCAGCAATACCACTCCTGGGAATATATCCCAGAGAGGCAAAAATGTATAGTCGAAGTGACATCTGCACTTGTTTGTTCATTGCAGCACTCTTTACAATAGCCAGAAACTGGAAGAAACCTGAATGCCCAAGAACAGATGACTGGTTAAAGAAACTTTGGTACATCTACACAATGGAGTACTATGTAGCTCTTAGAAAAGATGAAGTCATGAAATTTACATACAAGTGGTACAATATGGAAAGTATCATGCTAAGCGAAATGAGTCAGAAAGAGAGGGATAGACATAGAAAGATTGCATTCATCTGGGGGATATAAAGTAACAAAGTATGAGATTAATACCCAAGAATAGCTGAGATCAGCACCAGGAGGATTACTCCATAACTTAGAGGCCAGCCGGGTATCCTAGAGGAAAGGGCAGTTCAGATAGAGAAGGGAGCACCAAATAAAGTATGTTTGGAGGATCCTCCCAGGAGGGGAGATGCATGTCGAAAGTAGACTATGGACTGAACATGTTTGCCATTCAATGCCTCTTTTGCAGACCACAACACCCAAAAGGAGAGAGAGAACACAGGTGATTGCCCTGCCACAGAGACAGGGGGGATGGGGGGATGGGGGTGGGAGGGATATTATCCATGGTGGTGGAAAATGGGCACTGGTGGAGGGATGGGTATCTGATCATTGTATAATTGAAACCAAAGCACAAAAAATTGTAAATTTACAACTGTAAAATAAAATAAAATAAAGGGGAAAAAATGTGGCGTGCTGTTTTTGGTACTTTAGTGACTTAGAGAATTAGATGTTGCTTCAGAAATTCTAAAATTTTAAGAAGAGTGATACAGCTGGAGTAAAGTTTTTAATTGGATGTTTACTTTGGCGTCCAGGAGCATCTCTGCAGCTTGTTCTTCTCTTCTGATATTTATTTGTGAGTCTCTGGGTCATGTTTGTTAATGACTTTATATGGCACTAGAGGCAGTTCCTGGACATGACTGCCAGGCTCCTGGAAGAATCAGAGATAGGGGAAGGTTGCCCATTCCCGCCTTCATGATAGTCTGAGGATTTCAGTCACGAAACCCTCATACCTGGGTTTTTAGCATATTAATTCTCATGCATTATGGGCTTGTGCTCAGCCTGTGGATATCTGCTGTGAGCATGGCAGCAATTGGGTTTTTAAGGTTTATGACTGACAGGGCTCTCTTGGGGCGAATGGGGACTCACCCACTGCTCTCTGAGGTATTCCACCGGCCCCTCTCTGAGGTGTCCTCAATGAACTCAGCCTGGCGTGTGTTGTTGAGACACCTCTGCATCTTGTTGCTCTCTTCCAAGATTTATTTGTGAGTTTCTGGATCATGGAGTTAATGAACTTATATGGTGCCAGAGGCAGTTAATGGGTGTTGTTATTTTTTTTTTTTACATGAGAAGATGAAGTTACTGTGTGGCCAATGTGTAGTTTTAAGAGCAAGAAGAATAAAGAAGATACATCATATATCTGCTAAATTTACAATGACTTAGTTGGTGAGAATGATGTCTTAATCACAGGGGCAGAAGTCTAGCTACCCCGAGGACAGTAGCTGGGCTGTGGGATACTAAAATGAGACCTTGTAGCCAGTATATAGAAACACTATGTATCTCCCAGAAGTGCTCCTTTCCCTTCTAGTATTTATCTTACCCTTTTTCATAGAATAACTATTTGGCATCTTTTCTGGCTGCTTTGTATTGCTTTATAAATTAAATTATAAATAAAATTTCTTCTTTTGTTGGGTGGAGAGGATTGGATAGTTTTGGTTTTGAGGCCATCTCAGTGCTCAAGAGCTACTCCTGCCTCAGTCCTAAGGGTCACCCCTGCTGCTACTCAGGGAACCATGGGGCCCTGAGGATGAGACCTGGACCTCCTGCTTGCAAACATGTGCACTGTTGGGTTCTCTCTTTGGACCCCAAATATGTTTTCTACTCCTCTGTTGGACTTGAATATTGTGCCTGTGAGGCTAATCCATGCAACTATATATGATGGTAGAATTATATATGATGGTAGATGGTGGTGTGGTTGTATCCACACAACTAAATTGATGATAACCATATAGCTTAATAGGCATTTGACTATGTATTTTCTGTGTATCCTTTGTTGGGTGCATATGTGTATATGTATATATTATGTATGTACTGTCTGTTGGGTTATAGTTTTTTTTCCCCTAAAAAATTATTATAGGGCCTTTCTCCCTCTGGACAGCAAGATGGCAGCAGCCTTGGAGCTTTTTGGAAAGCCAGGTATGAGCCGGTCGTGATGGAGCAACTGAAACCTCATGGGAAGGGGGGCGTTCCCGACCCGTCCCTCAAGCCCTACCGAGTTCATGAGTTGCCCCCCACGAGTGGCTCTCCGGCACGGCCATGGCTCCAGAGCCACAGAAACCAATCTCATAATTATCTGACTCTCGGCAGAAATACTTCCAGGCTTAATCAGTAAAATGCCAGAAATCCAAAATCGCGTGGCTGCTATTGTAGCCATGAGACATCATTTGGTTCTTGTAACCAGCTGTAGAAAACAATGCCTTTTCAGCAGGTCTGATTTTGGGGTGTAAACTCTAAATAATAATGGTGCATCTTTTGTCGAAACAATGAATCTAATTAAAGTAGTTAGAGTGTTAACTAGAATTCATCTGCCTCACAGGCATTGGGAGGGTTGGGGTGGGAGGATATTGGGGTTCTTGGTGGTGAAAAATAAGTACTGGTGAAGGGAAATGTGTTTGATGAGTGCATGACCGAGACTTAAACCTGACAGCTTTGTAACTTTTCCCACAGTGATTCAATAAATAAATTTTAAAAATTATTATAGGCTCCATGTGTGACTTACAAAACTGTTAATTGCAGGATTTCATGCATTAAACATTTCAGCACTACAAAAAAAAAGGTGCATCGTAACCTTTGACTTTATGAGCTAATACAAACGTAGTAATTAAAACAATGGTATTGGACAAAAATCCACACACAGACCAGTGGGTTAAAATTACACCTCAGAAATATATTTAGACGCAAATGTGAGCAACTAACTTTTGTTACTTCATTTTTATATTATATTTCATTAGATATTTTGGTACTGCGATATACATATTTATTCTTAACAGAGTTTGTGGCATGCAATGTTTCAATGCAATCCACCATCAGTGCTGACTTTCCTTCACTGATGTCCCTAGCCTTTTTCCCAACCCCTACTCTGCCTTCTTGACAGGCACATTTCTAAATTTGATTATTGAAGTTTTGATTTCATACGTACAGTATGGTTGACTCTGAAGTATAGATATATACATATATCCCGTGTTCTGCCCTCTGAATATGCTCAAATCCCCTGAATCTCCCCTTCCTTTAGACTTAGTCCCTTCATTTTTTTCCTTTCCTACCCTTGTCATTTCTACATTCAGTGGTTAAGGGTAGTCTGGGTATTCCTGCTGTGAGAGCAGGCATTCCCTCATCCTGTTGTTCTCCTATAGACCACAGATAAGTGATATAATCTGATATTTGTCCCCTTTCTGACTTACTTCATTTACATGACATTCTCCAGTTCTATTCGAGTTGTTGAAAAATGCATAATTTCTTTAATTTTTGCAGCTTCAGAGTATAAGTTGCATTTATAATACATCATACTTTCATTATTCATTCATCTGTTCTTGGACACCTAGGTTGATTTCATACTCCACGGTACTATCACTCCAGCCCCAGATAACTTTATATTTACTTCTCTGAGAAATTTCCATGCTGCTTTCTTTAAGGGTTGAATTAGTTGAAATAACCACTAACTTACACAGTTTCTCGTATTGTTTTGTTTTATTTTTTGTTTTGATGTGTGCTAGACTGACTGGTCTCAAGTGACAGATTATTGTCGTCTCAGTTGTATTTCCCTGATAATAAGTGATGATAAGATTTTTTTTCAAGTCTATTTTCTCTCTGTTTATATCCTTCTGAACAGGACCTGTTTATTTTTAATTCAAATTTTTGGATAGGGCTTTTGATTAATTTCTGTTGTAATCTATATGCTTTATGTATCTCAGATAGGAAACCTTTATCTGATGTTGTTGAATAAACATATTGTTTCCCTCCCCATTTAGTCTCTATTATTTTTAGCCCACATTTGCTAAACTATACAGTAATGTTTGAGTTTGATGAGTTCCAATTTGTATTTGTTTCTGTTGTCTTGAGTACTAATTTACAAGAATTAGTATTTGGTGCAAGAGAAAAACTCATGGAGAAATTCTAAGTCCTGATCACTGACAGCACATAGTAGATGTATAAAACAGATATAGAATCACCCTTCCAGAAAACGCATTGTAAATTATTCGTAGAGTTTCATATGTAAAAATTTCTTTCATATTATCCAGATTTACCTTCTGATTATTGTATGTGAGAAATGTAAAGATGTCCTGAAAGCACTCAGAGATTAATGTTACTAGTAAATTTATTCTGTGTGAACACTATACAAAAATAGCCTTTTTACCTATATACATATAGAGCATGAAAATGATTGGTGGCTCACTTATAATATTCAGCTTTTAAGAGCTAGATGTGATATGTGAAATGCAAAGACAAAATTTCTGAAAACTATGTCTACATTGTGATTGAGTTAGGACAAATGAGTATTTCCTGACATCTCCAGGGTCTCCTGAGGAGGGTTGCTTTGACTTCCATCTTCCTCAGGAACATCCTGCCAAGCTGTCTGTAGAATTAACTTGAGGCTCCTTCTTTTCTGTCTTTGCTGCTCCCTATAAGATCCAACAAAGAAGTAAATGATGGGATTGGCACAGCTGTTGACACAGGATAATACCTCTGTCACCAAAGTTAGCTTGAAGCAGTGCATAAAAAGAGCAGTTGACATCCAGTATAAGAGAAAATGATAGATTCCCCAGGGCAAGCCACAGAGGAGGAAGACCAGCACTGTGAGCCCGATTGTCACATACAGCCCGGTCAGCTTCATCTTCCGGGAGCCACACAGCAATCTGGTCAGCAGAACCAGGCTGGACCCAGATAGAAGCACAAAGGAGAAAATCAGCCATGTGGCAATGATGATATCAATTATCCAAAGCAAATAAAATCCAAAAAATATGCCTTCCGACTCCACTCTCAAGATGGTCAGAAGCAGGGGCAGGGTCCAGAGCAGGGCACACACGACAGATGACATGTGTTTTGGGCGGTGGCAACGATACCAGATGGGCTTTAGGACACACAGGCAGCGCTCCATGCTAATGGCAGTGAGAAGGCTCAGGCCTACAACATATGGAAAGACAAGCGTCATAATATAAACTCGGAACATGTCCATGGAGTCTAGTCTGATATGTCCCACAAGTTTCATTATGGAGAATACCATGTGGTTGGATAGAAAGATAAAATCTGCTCCTGCCAAGTTGAGGATATAGACTGAAAAAGCATTCCTCTGCATGCGGAAAGCCAGGAGCCAGATCACTACAGTATTTCCTGATAGCCCCACCAGGGAAATGATGAATTCCAGAAGTTTTGAGCTCTTCGAAGTCATGTTCCATTGTCTATAAAAGTCTTCCCAGTCACTTTTATTCTGCAGTGTGCTTTCAGTCACCCAAGGTGTGCCAGTTACATCCATGCTCATATACTACTCTCTGCTGGTGTTTCTGGAAACACAAATGAGAAAGAATTTTCAGTTTGATCACAGATTCTCATGGCCATACAGGTATCTGAGACAAGAGAGAAGCAATTAAGACAGTTTAAGTCAGCCACACAGCTTTGACACCCTATATTTGGACTCTGCCTGATCTTTCTGATTCAAGCCTGGGATTTCTCTACTGAATCACAACTTTTCACAAATATGAAACGTTCTAAGGTCCTGATTTTCCCACTAGTTTCCTAGGCCATAGTGTCTGGATGGGAGTTTTTCTGGGCAGGACATAAGGATGGCAGTGGTACTCTGAGCCAGCCTTCTTCTGCCCTGGGCCTTCTATTCTTCAGAGACACAAACTATGTGACATCTCAGTGACTGAGAATGACCCATTCACAGAAAAGAAGACACCAGGATTTGAAGGAATTTCACTCTGAAGTGTATTGTCAGTTATGTCAGCTCACTCAAAACAGTGAGCTCTTACTCATGTTCGTTCATTAGTCTATCCCAGTGGCTAACATTTGTCAGGGTTACATGGACCATTGAAAATAGATAACAAATGAGTTACGGATTGTTGGAACTAACCACAAATGTGTGTGGGTGAGGGTGGATAAGAGAGAGAAGAGACAGCTAGGACAATAATAATTGGGAATGATCACACTGGACAAGATCTGAGAGTTAAAAGTACATAAGGGATATTCTTAATAAGCTTTCAGTTTCAATATTACAATCCACAATGCCAAAATGGAGAGAGAGAGAGTAACAAAGACAGATCAGAGAGGCAGACAGAGACAGAGATAGAGAGAGACAGAGGGACAGAAACACAGAGAGAGAGAGACAGAGAGAGAAGAAAAGCACCTGCCAAATAGGCAGGAAGGGGGTGATGGGAGAGAATCTGGGGACACTGGTGCAGGGAAATCTACACTGGGGGAGGGGTGGATGTTGGAATACTGTATGACTGAAATCCAAACATGAATGGCTTTCGTAAAGCTTGAAAATCACTGTCACTGTCACTGTCCTCCCGTTGTTCATCTATTTGCTCGAGTGGGCCCAGTAACGTCTGCATTGTGACATTTGTTACTGTGTTTGGCTTATCTAATACATCACAGGTAGCTTACCAGGCTTCGCTTGAAAATAAATAAATTAAAACAAATAAAATACAAATGAATAAAGGGAAAGTTTAAAAACAAGGGAAAATGGAATGCGATGCAAAAAAACTGCAAAAATTGGACTGTCACCAGAATAAGCATGCATGAAAAGAAGTATACGAATCTCCTGGCCCTGCACCTGGCTGTTCCTCACCGGGGTCCCTTGGAGGGGAGCGGGTTGAGCTTTCCTCCCCGCCCCAACCAGGGCTCCGGCAGCCGAAGACCTCCAGGACCAGCCACCACCATGCTGAGACCACTCTCCGCACACATGAAGGTACTGGCAGGGGGACAATGCCACGCGGGTTCCGGGGCCGAGATCTCCAAGCCTACTCAGATTGGAGTCGAGCATCCTCCACCCAGATCCTCCAAATTCCAGTAGGCAGGGGTCACACCCACCACCTGGCCCCCTGGCGCCGTGTAATCCCATCAACGGCCAAGACTCAGAGACTATAAAATCCAGCGGAACCGCGCGGCCGCATTTGCGGCCATGCGACATCTTATCAGGACATCTTTTTATGACATCTTATTATCTCATTCCTACTTTGGACAAACTTGCAGGCTATCGAATGTAGCCTGCCCACAGGGCAGAGTCTGGCAAACTCCCCGTGGCATACCAAATATGCCAAATACTATTAACAATGATGGGTCTCATTCTCCTAAAGAGCCTTGAATATAATCTAAGGGCTAGGATGAAAGAGACGTTACTGGGGCCTGCTCGAGGCAATCGATGAATAACAGGATGATGAATGAATGAATGAATGAATGAAAAGAAGTATCTTTATTAATCCTTAGTTGGAAAGTTTTTGTGTTCAAGGGTATTCATTAAACATGCACAATGACTATTTCTGTCCTCTGTGAGCTTAAAAGAAAAGGGACTCTAGTAGGCACCTTCTAATAATAAAAGATATTGTTTATCAAGAAAGGTAATAGCACAGGGGGTAGGGCGTTTTGCACACAAACGATAAGGCTGACCCGAGTTTGATTCCTCTGGCCCTCTCAGAGAGCCTGGCAAGCTACCAAGAGTATATCATCATGGCAAAGCCTGGCAAGCTCCCCGTGACGTATTCGATATGCCAAACACAGTAATAGTCTCACAATGTTACTGGGCCTGCTTGAGCAAATCTATGAACAACAGTAGGACAGTGACAGTGACACTGATTGTTTATCATGATAAATAAAAACTCAATTAATTTTTTATATTTTAGTATGGGAAAGACATGTAATTAATGGAGAGCGGAGGCAGTGGGATTGAATGAGAGACTTCATTATTTATCCTGCTATACAAAAAAGTATAGAAAGATCATATTTGCAGTTTTTTATTATGCACTTCTAGAGATGATTCTTTGGAAAGCCAGTTAGGATATTAATTTTTTGTTTTGTTTTATATTTGTGACACACTTGATGATGCTCAATGGTTATTCCTGGCTATGTATACAGGAATTACTCCTGGACAGGCTCAGGGAACCATATGAAATGAATGTTGGGGATGGAACCTAGGCTGGCTCATGCAAAGTAAATACCCTACTACTGCATTATCACTGGGCCCCTTGGAGATTCGTTATTGGTAAGGTGCCTTTACCTGGGTTACTTGTGATGTAAGCACAAATGCTCATTTGAACTTCAACTTGGGAATGGCTGGCAAATCAAGGTGCAGATGACCTGCTGGTTTACTGCTACTCAAGATAAAACCTCTCTCTGAGTTGTCTTTAGAAATAACTGAGTTAACAGAACAAAACTCGTGACTCTGAGAGGCTGAGTAGAGGGCCTTTTTGGTGAAGGGATGACACTGAAATCTAGCAGATGGGTGTGGTGAGTGAGTAACCTATGTAAAGATATAAAATTAAGCTTGAACTTCATACCTAAGTAATTGAAACCATTCAAAACTAATGTAAAAAGATCGAAAATGTTAAGTAAATACAATCATTTCCATACAGAGAAAAGAAAATAGAAGCACAAAGGGTTTGAGTGGAGGTACCTGATTGTATACATACAGTTGGTATAGTGTGTTCTGAATATCCAGGTCTGAGTCAGTTGCTTTTCCTTTCCCAACTCTACAGATCCACTTGTAGGATGGAATGGCACCTCATTAAAGAGAATGGAGAGAAAGATGCCAGTAACTCTTCTACAGATTCCAGGAGGAATGTATTGATATCGGATTTTATGTATAGCTTGGATTATACAATATTAAATGTTAAAAATATTTTTAAAAAAATATTTTAAAAAAACACGGAGAACGTGTTTACAGTTTAAATTAAATTAAAAAAATTCTTTGATAATAATGTTACTATGGGGTTTGATGTATAAAACATTTCACTACACACATGCACTGTGATCTCATTTCTCTCCATCATAGTTCCGGTGTCCCAATCCCTCCATTTTTTTATTCCCTTATCCCCTCAGCAGCATAGGTTTTCTACTGAAGTCAATTTCTCAGCTTCTGTTAGTCTTGGGCATTTGTTATTCCCTGACACTATTTCTTTATATGAGACAAATTATTCTATACATGTTTTTCTCCTAACTTCAGTTACAATAATTGGATGTTTTTTGAAGCCTCCCAAGAGCAATGCTCGAAGGCATAAGACTCTTGCTACTAGGAAAAGACAACATTGTTCTACCAAGCAGAAGACTCAAATAGTAGGAGAACAGCCTCCCCTAAGCAACTCCTTCAATAAAAGGACTTACTTTATTTATCCTTTTTATTGAATCACCATGAGGTGTTGGGGCTGGACTGAGCCATTAGAATGAGACTATCTAGACTGCTCCGCACACGGGGAGGAACATAGGAACCCATGAAAATGGGCGACATTTCTCGTGTGTCCTGACTGGTTTGAATGGAGCTAAACATCTTTTAATTTATGCTGCCTTCAGTAAATAATTTCATAAATTTCAGTTTATGGAAAGGGTCTCACAGAAGCCTGGCTAGTCTTTGACATAAAAATTTTAGGTGCTAGCCCAGCCTGATCTTTGACATGTAGATTCCAGGTGCTAGCCAAGCCTAGTCTTTTTGGGAAGTAGATTTCAGATGCTTGTAGCCCAAGAAAGCTTTAGGTGTCAGTTTAAGCTTCATATTTCTTTCCAGAGCCCTAAATCCACTGACCTGCAGACACAAGAAAACAATACATGCCTGCCTCAATGTTCTTTCTGTAATTTCTTTTGATGATGTCACTGTATTGCGTTCAATGATTAATAAAAGGAGACCTCAGAATGTTCTGCCTTTTGTCAAAGCATCTGAGTGAATCTGGGCCCTCCATGAAATATAATTTCTCTCTCATTCCTTGTCTCAGAGCCTCCAACTGGACAAACGTTCATGCAACAATGAATTACAATTACAAAGCTTTCATGTTTGAGTTTCAGTCATACAATGATCGGACACCCATCCCTCCACCAGTGCACATTTTCAACCACCACTGAGAAGGACTTATTTTCCTAGAGATGATAAATAAGCCATCAAATCTCTCTTGGATTTTGCACTCTTGGTGACCTGAGTGAGAAGAGATAAATTACAAATATTATTTCCATGCACATGTCCTACTCACTCATGGCACTGAACACATACGTCAATTGTGATAAGTGCTTGTCTTTTATATCTCAAGAGAAAAACCTTAGATACATAAACCTTCCTCATATTTGTTTTGGTTTGTAATAATGCTCATTATTATTATTTCTTCATATAACACTATTCATCTTGACTCCTTATTGTTATAGCTTTATTAACACAGAGGAATTAAAATTAAGGAGAATAAATGACTTGGGATCTGGGTAGGTCAACATAGACCCTGATCCAGGAACCATGCCGATGGAATTCCTGTTTTTCTGCCAAATCATGTATAATGAGAGGAG